CACCATCACCATCACCACCACCACCATCATCATCACCATCACCATCACCACCATCACCATCATCCTTATCATCACCACCACCATCATTCTCATCACTATCTCCATCACCACCATCACAATCACAAACACTATCACCACCATCACCATCACCATGATCAAGGAAAATGGCCAGGGTACATCACGAGTTCTGCCAAAGTCATCCAGTTTGTCAATTTAGAAGCAGGGCGAGAAGACGGGACAGTCTCTTAATTCCTAGTCCAGTGGCCACACCCTCACCTGCCAACTCTGACAGCTGACGCTAAGAACACTGCCTGGGACAGGTAGATCCTTCCCTGGCTCCAGGAGGCCAGATCCTTTGCTGGGCCATTGCCTCCGAGGATTGCTGCCCCCCCACTGTGCCCTCCAGTTCCCTTTAGCAAGTCTACATTCTCCAGACTTATCATTTAAAATTCATTTTTGGAAGTGATAGTAAATCCTGCTTTTTTTTCTGGCCTAAACTGATAAAGATGCAGGAACTTCGGACTATTCCATTTAGATTAGTTTTGACCAGTGCATTTAAAAAAGGAGGTAAATAACCATTATGTGCTTTCTATGACTATGTTGTTGTAATTAGACTGTGTAAGTGTGAATGCCAGAGGAGTAGGGCTATCAAGAGGCCTGCATGTTTTACATCTATTGTTACATAGTTTCTAATTGCTTTGAAAGCCTTCGGTCAACTTACACTAATAACTTACATTAATAGACACATTCACCCATTTTGCAGCAACTTTTCCGGCATTTTATTTACCATTCTTTTAAAATGCAGTATGTATTTTGCTAAGTGGTAGCCAGAGGTTAACCTTAATTTGCCTTTCCTAGGTGACTAGTGAAGCTGACTTTATCAGTATTTTCTGAACGTGCCTTTTGCCTTTATTGGTGCCTAGGACAAAGGAGGAGGTGTTCCTGAGCCTGGGGCCCGACTGGTTCCTGCTGCTCGTGCAGGGCCACCTGCACGCCAGCACCACAGTGCTGGGGCTGAAGCTGCTGCTGCACTTCCTGTCCAGCCCCTCCCTGCGTGGGCGCTTCAGGGACGGCCTGTGCGCGGGGTCCTGGGTGGAGCGCAGCTCCGAAGGCGCGGACATCATGATGGGTGCGCGCCGGGCTGGGAAAGGACCCTTGTTGAGCGTTTTCTCGTGCCCGTGTGTGTATGGCATATATTTCTACCTGGCATTTCCATGGGATGAGTGGATGGCAGGGAACTCCCTCAGGTGCCAGAGCAGTTGCAGTTGTTCTCAGTCGTGCTTTGTGCCCCTTCCTGACCGATAGATAACCTGAAGAGCCCCCCTCCGGCGCCGGACCAGAGCCCCTGCCTGCTTCCCGGGCTCCGGGTCCTGAGCGACTTTCTGGCCCACCACGTTCACATCCCAGAAGTCTACCTCATCGTGTCCGCCTTCTTCCTGCAGACGCCGCTCACGGAGCTCGCGGGCGGGCCCAAAGTAGGTCCTCTGGGCCCCCAGGGGTGGAGTGACACCTTGGCTTTCTGGTGCCACGTGACTCTCCACCCTTACCTTGCTGCCCTTCTCCCAGCTTCTGTCCTGACCCACTTCTTTCCCTGGCGGGCCACACGCCATGGCCAAGCCTTCAGATACCCTTGACTTCCTGCACCTGTCTCCTGCCCTCCTCCCCAGCAGCCCTGTTTTCATCAGTCCCACGGTTAAGCTGTTTTCCTTTTGGACGCAGCTGGAGAAATCCATGG